ACTGTGCCAATGGTTTACTGCGCATCGTATACCTGCCCCTTTTGATCAGACCGTTTGATCAAGTTTCAGTCGACTATCAGTGAGTGCGTCGTTACACACGTATTTTCTGAGTAATTTGTATTCGTTGAACTTATCAGATGCTCTTATAAATATAAATACGCACATGTCGCCTGTCTGTTATCTCGAGACTGCATCGGACTTGCCTTTGCTGGATGTTGGCGAAAGTTCGAGTTCCAGGTGTATGCATCAGTGAAGAATAAGGAGAGGGATCGAGCACCGGAACAGTTTGTTTATTGTTCAGAGCTTTTGAACTCGTGCAGGAGTCCATCGTCAAAGGTAGTAGCAGCAAAATAGCAGCCGACGGTTACAGGGCGTCGACCGATGGCGCAAGACTGGCTGTGGCTGCGTAGGGCTCTGCACGCCGGCGCCAGATCGATAAGTCGATTGACTGAGTTCTCATCCGAGGCCCAGGCTTCAATCAATTCTCGGCCTGTTTTGTTCCCGGCGTGGGCGACTATTTTGGTGGCTGTGACGTTAAACTCATGGCCCGCCGGGTGTTATCAGGTCTCCCGTGTGGCTTTAGGCGCTGTTCGCCGACATGCTTTGTTCAGCGAGATGTTCGGTTGTTCTTGGGCTGGCGTCTAACCCATCGCCTTGCTTTTGGCCTAGTGAATTCGTCCTTAGGCCAAATTTCATGGAGTACTAGTGTCCAGGTAGACGTTAATCACCTCTCCAGCCTCTCCCCTTCTTTTTATCGTCATATTCTTTTCCGAGTCCCCAATGAGCTCCGCTGTGATGGCGAGCCTGATGAGGTCGACTGGTTCTTCTCTTCATCAGCGGGGGGACGGAGTATCAGCGATCCAGGGACCATCGCCATATCCGGACGATGGCCGTCAGGCCAGTTCCCCCCCCGTCTCCGTCAGGCTGGTGACGTCTACTTTTGGCTAGCAGTGCCGAGGTCGTGAGTCGATCAAAAAGTGTCATGCCGATGCGGGTGTCCTTATTAGATAGAGGATACATCGGGACAGGTCTGCGAGTGTAAGCTGTGCCTTTTCGATCAAAGTTTGTCAACTTAACTGGGGGAGACGTCCCCAGACAGTGCTGCCCGATGACCTTGATTTTCAGCTCGTTTTCTGCCTGCATAATCCAGTATTCACAATGGGGAATTAGACGAACGCCCTGTGCACGCCCATTTTAGTGGCGGTTGAGAGTTGGTTACTGATCTATGCAGACCTTTGGTGGCTTGCAGGAAAACCCGCCGGTACAGGAGGTGGCTAACTCGTGAAATGTCAGCCGAAGTTTCGAAATGCGTTTTCGTTTCGAAAAGATTAATTAAGTAGGGTTGTGAAAGTAATCATTTTGCAGTATAAATCTATAATGATCCAGTTACCCTAGGATGCCGGATTTCAAACGAACTTCTTTCCGGCTGCATGCAAAAACCGTACTCTGTAAAAAAAAATGCTCGCTTGCGTAGCATGCATTTTTCCCCTTGATTTTCGATGTCCTTAAAAATTCATTTATATTCCATGGAAAACATACATAAAAATATTCATTCTTTTGCTCATTCGGCAGAAAATGGCGTTTTCCCATTTTATACTCAAAGGAAGGGTATAATCTGGTTTTAAAAAAAGTTTATAATTGTGAGATTTTTTAATACCGTGAAATGGCCATTCATAAAACGTCATGTCTCTGCATTTACTAATGTGGCTTGTAAAGTTAACAATATGGCTCAAATCCACTACTCAATTTTATGAACCCCATATGGTCTTCTCTTAATACCATAGATAAATGTATGGTTTCCCATACGCAGAAAATATACGGCTTGTAGTTTGGAAACCCTGAATGCAAGTGTAACGGCAGGTCGGGTTCAAAATTACTCGGGAATTGGAACAGTTTTTGAAAACCGAATTGTGCCCTTCCTTCGAGTATTAAATTGGAAGAAGACGTAATTTTCTACCGAATGAGCAAAAGAATGAATATTTTTATGCATGTTTTCTTTGAAATATAATTTAATCTTTAAGGGCATCGAAAATCAATGAGTATTAAACAGACGCCCTATGCACGCCGATCTTAGTGGCGGTCGAGAGCTGGTTACTGAGCTATGCAGACCTTTGGTGGCTTGCAGAATAAAATCTGCCAGTAACCTCGATTCGAAAGTTTGAAAATGGTCTACTCCCAAGTTAAGTGAAAATGAAGTCAAGTTGACAGACGATCGTTTTCGGGAATTCGTCATCAGGCGGATATAGTTAAATAGAGGATGACAATGGGAGAAGTTAACGCGGTCACTCCCATTCCCCCCGCATTGCGCGATCGGTGCGTTGTGTTCATTGCGACTGGGGGGGGGGGAGGAGGGGGTGGGTGAGGCAGGGCGTGAACGATGTCACCAAGGCGGTTGGGGCGACGTGCGATCACCAACTGGAGTGGGCGTTAGCCAGGGGAGGCAGAGCGCATGTACCAACGTCTTCTGACAACACGCCGTTGGATTCCCTAGCCATGAGCCACTGCCTTGGGTCGTAGCTGGCACCCGTTGTGGTAAGCCCCTTGAGAAGTTTCCTGGTGTCCAATAAACAACCTTGGAAAGCTTCTCCGGCATGGTCTCAGTGATTTGTATCGACTAGATATGGGAGAATAGAACTCGAAGTGGATTTGTTTTCACCTCTGTCTAGCCAACCCGTTATGTGTTCAGGCATTCACTTTTCCAGGCGTCTCGTTGCACGGCCAATGTATCCCACTCCACAGGAGCAAGCGAATGAATAAACGCACATTGATGTGATTCTCAACGGCAGTCTGCCTTTAACTCCTACAGTAGGTGGGCTAACTCATGAAATGTCAACCGAAACTCCGAAACGTGTTTTCATTTCGAAAAGATTAATTAAGTAGGGTTGTAAAACTAGTCAGCCTGCAACATAATTCTATAGTAATTCAGTTACCTCAGGATGCCGACTTTCGACCGAACGTTTTTCCGGCTGCATGCAAAAACTGTACTCTGAAAAGATGACTACTTACCTAGTAGGAATTTTTCTCATTTATCTTTAATGCTGTTAAAAATTCAATTACATTTTATGGAAAACATGCATAAAAATATTATTTGGCTCATTCGGTAGAAAATTACGTCTCCTTCCAATTTTATACTCGAAGGAAGGGCATAATTCGGTTTTCAAAATCTTTTCCAGTTCCTGAGTAATTTTGAACCCGACCTGCCGTTACACTCGCATTCAGGGTTTCCAAATCACAAGCCATATATTTTCCCTGTGCGGAAAACCGTGCATTTCTCTACGGTATTAAGAGGAGACCATATGGGGTTCATAAAATTTGGCAGTGTATGTGAGCCATATTTTTACCTTTACTAGCCACTTTGTTAAATGCAGAAACATAACGTTTTATGAACGACTATTTCCCGCTTCCAAAAAATCTCAAAATTAGAAGTTTTTTTAACTAAATTAAACCCTTCCTTCGAGCATAAAGCTGGAAGAAGGCTCGGTCACACATGGTGCATTCAGTGGCGAGGAGATTCAGTCGTTGTCTCCACGTCAAATAAACCGTCACAAAACACAAGAGACGAGCTTTGCCCTTCGTCACCGTCTTGCCATATCCCAAGGCTCTGGAGTGGAACTCCACGACAGAGAGAGGAATCGTCCTTTTTGCGCCCAGCACTCGTGATCAACCGTCGATATTCACTTTAGTATGACTTAATATCCCCGGTCTCACTCGACAGGGCCGTGAGCCCCTGATCTCATGGCATGACGTATGACGTGAATTCCCAGTAGTAAGAGAGTTCGGGTTTGAATCCTGATCGATTCCAGTCAAGGCTTAGCAGATTTGAATATCCACTGGCATTCTTCACGGTTTAGGTTTTTGAGCTTCAAACGGCGAAGAGGAGCCCTATCGAGGTCTTCTTTCGTCTGTATCTCAACAGGATGCTGCAAAATGTCGCAAGCTCAGTTGTCACGAGAAGGAAACCCGTTCAGTCGAGTGGACCGCCCCCCGTCCTTCCAAGGACTGCGCGAGTAACAATGCACTAAGAGCCGAGTTCCAGGAAGTAAGCACGTCGAGTTTTTTTGTCAGCGACCTATGCGAGAAGTTAAAACCCGGGGTGTGACCAGGCCGCGTGTGGCACACGTAGATGGGCTGTTTAACTCTATCAGCCACTGTTCCCGATCTCAGCATCATTTGGTTAACCGGTTCAAGCAATTTGGTGGTATCTGTGACGGAGGAAAGAGCGAGGTTGACTCTGGGGACTGCGTCCCTACGGCACTCATTTGACGTGCTGTCAAACAGTCGCGACACACTAAGCGTCATGGACTGGACGATTGCCAACTGAAGATACAAGTCAATCCTCACTTTCGGCCCTGTATTTGTTTGCGTGGAGTGGTCGACTAGCGGACTGTGAGTCAGACATTATGGCTCCTTCTTAATTTGGCCCCTATGACACCCTCATGCATGTGAACTACGGGCCGTCCCTCCCACCTTGTGGGAAAATCTGATGCCTTTTATGAGGAGCCAGGCTGTGTGTGTGACATGCGCAGACGGCCTGTCTAGTTTTGTTAAACGTCTGCGCCAAATCCCCGCATCAGATGGCTGACCGTCTCGGACAGTGGACTGGTGCTCTAAAGAGGGAGGAGAGAGGGATTTAGACTATCGGAACTGCGTTCCCACGGCACTTAGTGCAAATTCCTCACTAGGGTACTCCCATTCAG